TTTGTTATATACCCTTTGTTGGCAATGACACAGGTCAAACGTTTTCTGTAAGTCTTCACAAGGTATTCACACACTGCTGCTGCTATTTTGGCCCATTCCTCCATGCAGATCTCCTCTAGAGCAGTGATGTTTTGGGGCTGTCGCTGGGCAACACGGACTTTCAACTCCCTCCAAAGATTTTCTATGGAGTTGAGATCTGGAGACTGGCTAGGCCACTCCAGGACCTTGAAATGCTTCTTACGAAGCCACTCCTTCGTTGCCCGGGCGGTGTGTTTGGGATCATTGTCATGCTGAAAGAACCAGCCACGTTTCATCTTCAATACCCTTGCTGATGGAAGGAGGTTTTCACTCAAAATCTCACGATACATGGCCCCATTCATTCTTTCCTTTACACGGATCAGTCGTCCTGGTCCCTTTGCAGAAAAACAGCGCCAAAGCATGATGTTTCCACCCCCATGCTTCACAGTAGGTATGGTGTTCTTTGGATGCAACTCAGCATTCTTTGTCCTCCAAACACGACGAGTTGAGTTTTTACCAAAAAGTTCTATTTTGGTTTCATCTGACCATATGACATTCTCCCAATCCTCTTCTGGATCATCCAAATGCACTCTAGCAAACTTCAGACGGCCCTGGACATGTACTGGCTTAAGCAGGGGGACACGTCTGGCACTGCAGGATTTGAGTCCCTGGCGGTGTAGTGTGTTACTGATGGTAGGCTTTGTTACTTTGGTCCCAGCTCTCTGCAGGTCATTCACTAGGTCCCCCCGTGTGGTTCTGGGATTTTTGCTCACCGTTCTTGTGATCATTTTGACCCCACGGGGTGAGATCTTGCGTGGAGCCCCAGATCGAGGGAGATTATCAGTGGTCTTGTATGTCTTCCATTTCCTAATAATTGCTCCCACAGTTGATTTCTTCAAACCAAGCTGCTTACCTATTGCAGATTCAGTCTTCCCAGCCTGGTGCAGGTCTACAATTTTGTTTCTGGTGTCCTTTGACAGCTCTTTGGTCTTGGCCATAGTGGAGTTTGGAGTGTGACTGTTTGAGGTTGTGGACAGGTGTCTTTTATACTGATAACAAGTTCAAACAGGTGCCATTAATACAGGTAACGAGTGGAGGACAGAGGAGCCTCTTAAAGAAGAAGTTACAGGTCTGTGAGAGCCAGAAATCTTGCTTGTTTGTAGGTGACCAAATACTTATTTTCCATCATAATTTGCAAATAAATTCATTAAAAATCCTACAATGTGATTTTCAGGAAATCTTTTCCTAAATTTGTCTGTCATAGTTGACGTGTACCTATGATGAAAATTACAGGCCTCTCTCATCTTTTTAAGTGGGAGAACTTGCACAATTGGTGGCTGACTAAATACTTTTTTTCCCCACTGTATGTGACACATAAGCATTTACTGTGGCAACAGTGCTCCAAAGTGGCTCAGTCAATGAGGCCAATACTGTGTAAAATGGCCTGTTTCCGAGTGTGTACATGTAAGCCAGAATATCTTTAATGATAAGAAGAAGCTGAGTATTGAGAAGTCAGAATAAAAACAGAGCTTGACCAGTCTTGTTTAGTCGGCTCTGGAAGATCATGGATCTTTACACATGCTAAATCAAATTAAATCTAATTTCATTTGTCACATGCGCCAAATACAACAGGTGAAATGCTTACTTACAAGCCCTTAAGAAAAATAAGAGTTTATGCTAAATAAACTAGTGAAAATAAAAAAATGCCCCTAAGACCTTGTCTATTATTGTACTCATATCACGCCCAGTTCAGCTCAGCAGGCAATCTACTCCAAACATGTATTTAGTATGCCTATAACCTAGTTCATACATTTTTTTAAACAATTACATATATTTTCCTCCTACATTAACAATGGAGAGGCCCATAGCCACTTAGAGAGGCCCATAGCCACTTGCAACAGTTCTGTGAGAGCTTTGCAAGGTTGTATGGAAAACAGAAAACGCTCCACTTTGACAAATTGGGTCCAGCAATCATAATGGGCATCTCCACAAGTCCCTTAAGAGTGAATAAGGAGTAAACGCATGTTACATTTTTCCATTCTTGTGAATTGAAATTAGAAAACCTTGATGAGATTTTAGCGGGTAGTTGGCCCATGTCTGCAGGTGCTTTCAGTGCATCGACTTTAAGCTGCATATTTCTTAGTATTCCATCATCCAGCACACCAATATTCTTCCAGACGGTAAAAACATGTTTTGCTGTCCCCAGTAAAAGATTATGCATAGGGTCCACTACAGCCATGTCTATGGGCATGAAATATGGCAATTTAAATAGCTCAGAGAATCTGGCCCCAGTTTCAGTCTCTATTGTTTCCCTCTCTGCCTTGGTCTTCCATTTCCATGGACATTTCTGCAGGCATTTGTTGCAACCTGTGTGAGTTCGACCTGAATCTGTGTTGTTGAACAGATAAAAAGATGGTGGTGAAAGTTAAAAACATCACACTAACAAAAAAAGTTTCTAATAAAAGTTTTTAATAGAATGACATTGAAAAAAACAAGGGCCTGAAAGGCCTGGCAATAAAGTAGCCAACTTTATAAATTGTTATGATATATTATCGATGTACACTAGCTTTGAGCGTGGATCTGTGCACCTAGAGCCAAAGATGGTGGATAAATAAAGATGTCTTACTCAGGCCGTTTACCATTGAAAAAATAGTCACAGTTCTGGTCTACTTAAGGGGTGGCTCTCCCAATGCGATAGCAGCTGGGTCTGGTCTACTTGTCTATGAACCAGAAAAATGAGCCAGTGAAATGTCTCGCTTCCTCTTCCGTCTCAGCTGGAGCAACCATATACTTGTCTCCGAGAGTTTTGATGGGACAAGAAGTGGTTTCATTTTATTTATTTTAGATTTTATTTATACTAAACCGTGCTTCTTAACACCTGCCCGCTTAACCCAGAAGCACCAATGTGTCGGAGGAAACACCGTTCAACTGACGACCGAAGTCAGCCTGCAGGCGCCCGGCCCTCCACAAGGAGTCGCTAGAGCGCGATGAGCCAAGTAAAGCCCACCCGGCCAAACCCTCCCCTAACCCGGACGACGCTGGACCAATTGCGCTCCGCCATGTGGGACTCCCAGTCATGGCCGGATCGAACCCGGGTCTGTAGTGACGCTTCAAGCACTGCGATGCAGTGCCTTAGACCGCTGCGCCACTCGGGAGGCCGGGGGGTGTTTTCTACTGGCAGTCATTTTTAAATATATATTCCTGTAGCTACTCGTCGCACCAAGCCATGGAAATGGTTACGGATAACGTTTATAATTGGGACGTCAAACATTCAGCCTGCTGCACAGACCCTATGGACGCTCTAGTCTAGAGCGCCTGGTTAAATTGTACTTAGGAGCATTTTTAAACTCTCTCCATGGTTAAAGTAGGAGGAAATAGATGTAATTGTTGTAAAAATGTGTGAGTTTGCTACATTTACTATCATCATATATTAAAATATCGAATTACTTTGACATTGAATTATGTTATATTACGCTAATTTCCCTATGGTGGACAGAACATGTTACTACATTACACAGACTAACGTTTTCACCACACAATCATTCCAATTTTGTTTTGTTTTTGTGGCCCATCCCCCCCCTCTTCGGAGGACAAAAACAAAATGTGTTTTTACAGCTTTTTCTTTTGTTGTTACATGTACATTCTACACACATTTTACATACATGCCAATTTTTTTTTTTTTTTTATCTACTTACATAGCGAGAATAAAGTAATTTGATATTTTTATATACATTACATCTAGATAGATAGTACTTATACATTATGTGTGTTTTCAGTCATAACTATTATAGAACATGAGCTTTTAAACCCACCCATCAGCTACTCTCAGTCCATCCCACCTATCTCCGTAAACCGCCGTCTTATGATTTCCATGTGCCATATATTTTTCAACTGTGCTGTGATGTTTCACATACATTCTAAACCTGTCTAATCGCATGGTATCTGGTTTTCCAAATCTCCCAACAGTGCTATTTGTAGGGTTAATTTGAGATAAATGTTGTGATTTTTCAGCCATTCCCGAACCTGTGACCAGAAACAAGTTACATAGGGGCAATACCAAAATAAGTGATCTAATTGACATTTTAGTCATTTAGCAGACGCTCTTATCCAGAGCGACTTATAGTTAGTGAATACATATTTTTTGGTAATCCCGCGCAGAGGATTACCACAGTTCCCTGTGGGTTTGAACCTTGGGCTGCCGGGGTTCATCGACTTTGGTCGATGCTATGCAGCGCACGCGTGCGCTTTACCAAGTTACGACAGGTGTTCTGTTGTTTTTGGACTTGCGGTTCCTTGTACGAGTTCTGACATTTCAGGCTGGCAATGTAAATATTGTTCTTGGAACTGTGGGGTATAGGGACTTGGCTGCAGTGGCAGCATGTCAGTGCACATAGACAAGTTGCAGCAGGTTATGGTTCCCTATATGGGGCTCTGACAGTTCAGGCCTCATGAGGCTCTGACTGTTCAGGCTTCTCGGGTAAGTATAAGGGAAAAAGGTGGCTTCTGTAACCTTTTTTGAGCCGGTGGAACCTGTGTGTGCTTGGGCTGCCGTGGGCCTCCTAGTTTGGTAACCTCTGAGCTGGCTTGGGACGTGATTGTATGACCCAATAGTATGTTATATCAAGTGACCGACTGAAAGGGAACAAGGGAACATACAGTTATGACTATAACTACTGTTCACTGAAGGAAGGGCAGTACTAAATTGAGGAAATGACTGCGAGCCCCAGTACTATAGCCAGGAAGGCGGGGCTTCCGAGGGCGGGCTCGCATCCATTGGCACGTTGGGCATGATTTCAGTTTGCTTTAGGTGAATAGGATTGGTTGTTAACTCCCCATAGTATGTTATACTTTGTTCCCTCCTTCAGGGAACAGTAGTATATTCATAACTGTACGTTCTGTCTCAGGAGTGGCAGACATTCTGTGACTTCCCAGAGATCATCGACATCAACATCAAGAGGGCGTGCCACGAGCAGGTTCCCCAGGACAGCAGGGTGGTCACGGTCACCCGGCAGGACGACAGATGCCTGGTTGGTTGAAAACACTGAATCAATGCGCAATACATCCTTAATTAATGCTTAATCAACAACACCTGGGCAACATCCATTTCGGGGGGTGTATAGCTAATGAAAAAGTGTGCATGTCACAATTCTTCTCCACAGGAGGCCGAGTTTCGAACAGTGACCGAGGCGCTTTCATTTGTTTCGCTTGTGGATGGTTACTTCAGGCTGACTACAGACTCCAGTCACTATTTCTGTCAAGACGTTGCCCCTCCCAGCCTGCTTGAAGACATTGAAAGCCACTGCCATGGGCCAATCACGTAGGTCCTTCAAGACTTATATCAAACCCATAGAGATACATTAGATTTAAACATCTCAGTGTGCCTTTATATGTTGTTTCCTCAGGTCTGAGTTTGCAGTGCACAAGCTGAAAAAAGTAGGCGCCAAAGATGGCAGGTTTCTGCTAAGACGCAGCCCCAAAGACTATGAAAAGTTATTTCTTACCGTCTGCGTTCAGGTAAAAAGTAAACAATTACAAAGCATAGTCAATCTTCAAATTGCTTTAATCTGGATATACTTTTGGTCACACTTTTATTAGATAGTCTGGATGGTCCATATGTATTGCATTTGTATTGTATTTATTAGAAATCCCCTACAAATTAAAACAGTACATCATATAACATTATTACACTGCATATCTACAATAGAAAATGTATAATACCACCACACAACAATATTACAATGTACCTGTGTGTAGAGTGTGTGTTCCAGCGTGTTAATGCACGTATGCGTGTGTGTGTGCTTGTGTGTGTGTGTGTCTCTTCACAGTTAGCATTGTTCCATAAGGTGTAGTTTTATCTGTTTTTAAATCTGATTTTAGTGCTTGCATCAGTTACTTGATGTGGAATAGAGTTCCATGTAGCAATGGCTCTATGTAGTACTGCGCATTTCCCAGAGTCTGTTCTTGACTTGGGGACTGTGAATAGACCCCTGGTGGCATGTCTTGTGGGGTATGCATGGGGGTCTGAGCTGTATGCTAGTCATTTGAACAGACAACTCGGTGCTTTCAACATGTCAATAGCTCTCACAAAGACAAGTAGTGATGCATTCAATCTCTTGAGCCAGGAGAGATTGACATGCATGTCATTGATGTTAACTCTGCATATACATTTAAGGGCCAGCCGTGCTGCTCTGTTTTGGGCCAAATGTAATTTGCCTATGTCCCTCTTTGTGGCACTTGACCATATGACTGGGCAGTAGTCCAGGTGCGACAAAACTTGGGCCTGTAGGACTAGTTTTGTCAAGAAAGCAGAGCAGCACTTTATTAAGGAGAGACCTCTCCCCATCTTAGCGACCGTTGCATCAATATGTTTTTACCATGACTGTTTACAATCCAGGGTTACTCCAAGCAGTTTAGTCTTCTCAACTTGCTCAATTTCCACATTATTTATTACAATATTTAGTTGAGTTTTAGGGTTTAGTGAATAATGCTTTTAGTTTTTTAAATATTTTGTACTAGCTTATTACTTGCCACCCATTCTAAAACTGACTGCAGCTCTTTGTTAAGTGTTGCAGTGATTTCACAAACTGTATATACTTCCATTTGTTTTTTCAACTGGTACCAGGGGACTTTAAGACGGGTCTTGTGAGGCCTAAACAACCAACATGTACATGTTTGTGAGTCTCCTGACACTTGTGGAGGTCGTAGAGCAAAATGGAGAACACCATCCTGTTCGTGAGAGTTTCATCTTTCCATAGTTAGTAGGCCAAACCGTTCGGACACTACAGACAATTTTGAGAGAAGACCGATTTTCGGGATGTCTCATGGTCTGACAAACACCGCTCTAGCTCGGTCACATAGGCAGATGCGGTGGATTGAGACGCATCCAATGCAAAACAGATACAGTTGAAGTCGGAAGTTTACATACACCTTAGCCAAATACATTTCAACTCAGTTTTTCACAATTCCTGACATTAAAAAATTCCCTGTCTTAGGTCAGTTAGGATCACCACTTTATTTAAAAAAATTGAAATGTCAGAATAATAGTAGAGAGAATGATTTATTTCACATTTCCGTGGGTCAGAAGTTTACATACACTCAATTAGTATTTGGCAGCATTGCCTTAATTGTTTAACTTGGGTCAAACATTTCAGGTAGCCTTCCACAAGCTTCCCACAATACGTTGGGTGAATTTTGGTCCATTCCTCCTGACAGAGCTGGTGTAACTGAGTCAGGTTTGTAGGCCTCCTTGCTCACACATGCTTTTACAATTCTGCCCACAAATGTTCTATATGATTGAGGTCAGGGCTTTGTGATGGCCACTCCAATACCTTGACTTTGTTGTCCTTAAGCCATTTTGCCACAACTTTGGAAGTATGCTTGGGGTCATTGTCCATTTGCGACCAAGCTTTAACTTCCTGACTGATGTCTTGAGATGTTGCTTCAATATATCCACATAATTTTCCTTCCTCATGATGCCATCTATTTTGTGAAGTGCACCAGTCCCTCCTGCAGCAAAGCACCCCCACAGCATGATGCTGCCACCCCCGTGCTTCACAGTTGGGATGGTGTTCTTCGGCTTGCAAGCAACCCCCTTTTTCCTCCAAACATAACGATGGTCATTATGGCCAAACAGTTATATTTTTGTTTCATCAGACCAGAGGACATTTCTCAAAAAAGTACGATCTTTGTCCCCATGTGTAGTTGCAAACCGTAGTCTGGCTTTTTTATGGCGGTTTTGGAGCAGTGGCTTCTTCCTTGCTGAGCGGCCTTTCAGGTTATATCGATATAGGACTCGTTTTACTGTGGATATAGATACCTTTGTACCTGTTTCCTCCAGCATCTTCACAAGGTCCTTTGCTGTTGTTCTGGGATTGATTTGCACTTTTCGCACCAGAGTACGTTCATCTCTAGGAGACAGAACGCGTCTCCTTCCTGAGCGGTAGGACGGCTGTGTGGTCCCATGGTGTTCATACTTGCGTACTATTGTTTGTACAGATGAACGTGGTACCTTCAGCCATTTGGAAATTGCTCCCAAGGATGAACCAGACTTGTGGAGGTCTACCATTTTTTTCTGAGGTCTTGGCTGATTTCTTTTGATTTTCCCATGATGTCAAGCAAAGAGGCACTGAGTTTGAAGGTAGGCCTTGAAATACATCCACAGGTACTCCTCCAATTGACTCAAATGATGTCATTTAGCCTATCAGAAGCTTCTAAAACCATGACATCATTTTCTGGAATTTTCCAAGCTATTTAAAGGCACAGTCAACTTAGTGTATGTAAACTTCTGACCCACTGGAATTGTGATGCAGTGAATTATAAGTGAAATAATCTGTCTGTAAACAATTGTTGGAAAAATTACTTGCATGCACAAAGTAGATGTCCTAACCGACTTGCCAAAACTATAGTTTGTTAACAAGAAATGTGTGGAGTGATTGAAAAACGAGTTTTAATGACTCCAACCTAAGTGTATGTAAACTTTCGACTTCAACTGTTAAACTAGCTTAAACTGACGGATTTTGATGGGGATTGCTTTATTACACTAATTTGGAGAACCTTAGGGGGTTTTAAGTTTAGTCACATGATTTCTCAATTTACTGTACCAGCTGTGCAGACAGACTTATTTGCCATTCCTTTTGCTTCGTTCCGCTCAACCATACAATTTTTCAATTCCTCATCATTCCATGGGGATTTAACCGTTTTTACAGTCATTTTCTTAATGGGTGCATGCTTATTAGTAACTGGAATAAGCAAATTCATAAATGTGTCACGTGCAGCGTCTGGTTGCTCCTCATTACACTTGAAAAAGAAAAGGAGAGCTCAGATGCAATAATTGCTCCTCATTACACACCACAGACCAGCAAATATTCTCTTCATCATAAGAATCACTACAAAACCTTTTGTATGATCTCTTATACACTATATTAGGCCCAGCCTTTGGAACTTTGGTTTTCCTAGATATATCTCCACTCAGTAAGCTATGTTTCCATTACCTTGTCCAGTGACTTTTTGTCGACATTTACAAAGTTTGCATAAAAAGTAGATGTGACAATTGCCTGCCACAGTGCGTTTCCATTGAGCTTGTTTTGATTAAAACAGCTGGACGTAATGAAGTCACAACTTTAAACAAAAAAACATAGAATGTTGAATTACAATGAAGTGGTTAAAGTGTTTCCATTACCCATTTAGCCTAATTTGATTTGAAATTGCTAGCATTCTTGAAAGTCAAGACAATCCTTGTCCTGCAAAGGAACATCATTTTTTTATAGTTGAATAAATTGATTTTGCAAGCAGTAGGCATTTTGGTGATGCCATCACGTGCCCCGCACCTTCAAAATGATTAGACAATCATCATTCTTTCGAGAAAAAAAACACTGTTTCCATCATCAATTTTCACAATAAAGGAAGTTCGACAAAATAAAAATCCACCCGTCGAATGGATAAAATGTTAGTTGATCTTTCGGAAATGTGTTACATCTGCCGTTTTCATTACATGTCGCAATGATTTTTTCTGTGACATTGCTTAAGTTGAATAAACCTGGGTCAATGGAAACCTGCCTACTGTTTTTGCTAGCACTTGCCCCCAAAAAGTGTACCATCTGGGTTAACTCGGTTGAGTTTACAAAAACAGATCAGATATACTGTAGGTAAACCTCGCTGACTGAGGTCTACCATACAGGTGGCATCACTTGTAATGAATGTGTACTTATATAGTACGTTAGCCATCCTGACAACCTGGCCCTAATTTTAAAGCTTCTGGAAGCACAATCCAAGTGAGAGGATAAACCCACAAGTACACCACAGAGCACAAGTACAATGTAATTACTAGGTGTTACACAGGATTTATCTATTTAAATTTAAGTGTATCTTGAATTGTACTTACTTGTATTGTGTACTTACAAAGTACATTACCCATTCTGACAATCTAATCGTCAGCTTCTGAAAGCGCCATCCAGGTGAGAAAATAAACAAAGTGATACACCACAGAGTACATATATGTAATATTTACATTTACATCATTTAGCAAACGCTCTTATCCAGAGCGACTTACAAATTGAATATCTGCATAAGTACAAGGTTGTCACTAGTTGTTACACAGGATTTAGCTATTTAAAGTGAAGTGTAACTTTATAGTTAACTATAAGCAATTTCTATATAATTACTTATTACTCATTACCAAGTGAAAATACATACAAACAAAATATTTTCTACTACTTTAGTCAACTTTATTGCAACATGTTAAAATACCTTACATTTCTTACAAAACAATAAGGATTTGTATTGTTAGATTAATAATTAGATTAATTAAATTAAAACAAAGATACAGGCATACTCAATAACATTAAAATAACTATTCTAGTGGTGATTCAAATCTGTAGGCTATAGTATGGTGAGTAGCCTAGATAGATAGCTAATTTAGAAAAATATGATTGTCTTTTTCTTCCCTTTTTAACATTACAAGTAACAATGGAAATCAACAACTCTGTCTCTGACTCTGTCTTCATCTATTTCTTTCTTGTAAGCATTTTCCCATCCTGGAGTCTGAGACCTTATGAGAATCTGTGGTGGAGAAGAAGAATGTATGACAATTTAGCATAGACACTATACATTACTCCTAGTTATCATCATCATGATTTCTGTAGTTTAGGCATATACACTACCGGTCAAAAGTTTTAGAACTCCTACTCATTCAAGGGTTTTTATTTAATTTTACAATTTTCTACATTGTAGAATAATAGTGAAGACATCAAAACTATTAAATAACACATATGGAATCATGTAGTAACCAAATAAAATGTTAAACAAATCAAAATATATTTTATATTTGAGATTCTTCAAATAGCCACCCCTTGCCTTGATGACAGCTTTGCACACTCTTGGCATTCTCTCAACCAGCTTCACCTGGAATGCTTTTCCAACAGTTTTGAAGGAGTTCCCACATCTGCTGAGCACTTGTTGGCTGCTTTTCTTTCACGCTGCGGTCCGACTCATCCCAAACCATCTCAATTTGGTTGGGGTCGGGGGATTGTGGAGGCCAGGTCATCTGATGCAGCACTCCATCACTCTCCTTCTTGGTAAAATAGCCCTTACACAGCCTGGAGGTGTGTTGGGTCATTGTCCTGTTGAAAAACAAATGATAGTCCCACTAAGCCCAAACCAGATGGGATGGTGTATCGCTGCAGAATGCTGTGGTAGCCCTGCTGGTTAAGTGTGCCTTGAATTCTAAATAAATCACTGACAGTGTCACAAGCTTAACACCTCCTCCTCCAAGCTTTACGGTGGGAAATACACATGCGGAGATCATCCGTTCACCCACACTGCGTCTCACAAAGACACGGCGGTTGGAACCAATAAATCTACAATTTGGACTCCAGACCAAAGGACACATTTCCACCAGTCTAATGTCCATTCCTCGTGTCTCTTCTTCTTATTGGTGTCCTTTAGTAGTGGCTTCTTTGCAGCAATTCGACCATGAAGGCCTGATTCACACAGTCTCCTCTGAACAGTTGATGTTGAGATGTGTCTGTTACTTGAACTCTGTGAAGCATTTATTTGGGCTGCAATTTATGAGGCTGGTAACTCTAATGAACTTATCCTCTGCAGCAGAGGTAACTCTGGGTCTTCCATTCCTGTGGCGGTCCTCATGAGAGCCAGTTTTATCATAGCGCTCGATGGTTTTTGCGACTGCAATTGAAGAAACTTTCAAAGTTCATGAAATGTTCTGTATTGACTGACCTTCATGTCTTAAAGTAATGATGGACTGTCGTTTCTCTTTGCTTATTTGAGCTGTTCTTGCCATAATATGAACTTGGTCTTTTACCAAATAGGGCTATCTTCTGTATCCCCCCCTACCTTGTCACAACACAACTGATTGGCTCAAACGCATTAAGAAGGAAAGAAATTCCACAAATTAACTTTTAAGGATGCACACCTGTTAATTGAAATGCATTCCAGGTGACTACCTCATGAAGCTGGTTGAGAGAATGCCAAGAGTGTGCAAAGCTGTCATCAAGGCAAAGGGTGGCTATTTGAAGAATCTCAAATATAAAATATATTTGGATTTGTTTAACACTTTTTTGGTTACTACATGATTCCATATATGTTATTTCATAGTTTTGATGTCTTCACTATTATTCACTATTGTCTTTACTATTATTGGTGGTCTATAGTAACTTCCCACAAGAATGGGCTTTAGGTGAGGCAGGTGAACATGTAGCCATATTACTTCAACAGTATTTGACATGAGATGCTCTACAGATGGTCATACTACCAACAAACAATATTTTGATAAGCAACTTCTTGCTAAGGTTACGGTTAGGTTTAGAATAAGGTTTAGGGTAAGGTTTAAGGTTATGGTTAGTGCAAGGGTTAAGTTTAGGGTTAGGATAAGGGTTAAGGTTAGGGTTAGGGCTAGGGTTAGTAGATAATTAGTTGAAATGTTACTGATACTCTGTAGCGTATCTACAGATGGACTATCCAAATAAAGTGTTACCGGATATACTTTTTGACATTCTCTTAGACTCCTCTTGGGCTGGATTACAAAGACTGTCTAATTACGAAGAATGAACAGTTCTGTCTTTCGGGGGTCCACAAGTCCTTCCTCAGCTTGAGGGAACTCACTGACTTCTTCCAACAAAGCAAGCTGCTCCTGGCTGAGGTTCCTGTCAAACTGGAAAGATGTTGTCCACCTCGACCGAAAGGTACAGGGCAACAAGCCAGTTTGATGTTTTTATTGCTCAAACTTAAAGCTCAATCGTAGGAATCGTACCATGCACAACTGATCATTGAACATTGGTTACTTCACAATCAAATTAGACTAAAATATATTTCATATTGAAATCAGAAGAAATAATATATATTTGATTATACAAATCTCAATCATCACACTTAGCAATGATACATCTGCATAGTTAATTGTAATGCTGCATCATTCATCACAAGAACTACCCCGTTCTTTCTGTAGAACTCTCAAACCTGGTCATCATGCGTGGCAGCAGCTCAGTAGAGACACAGGGGTCCCCGACACTGCAAAGGACCAAACCCAGTCATATCCAGTTCCACATGATCAAGTACGAGGATCTGCGATGGGTGAGTTTAGCAGAAGCCTGGAGCTTCACTCAAACATCCTGTCAGTTCTCTGTCATGTGGGTTTAATGCAGTTCAAGTTTAAATGAATTCCGTCATATGACAGATCCTGTATAAGGGAAAACTGGCAAGGCCATCAATAACAGTTTGAATGAATGAATGGCTTACTCACTTTACTGTGTGTATCATTTCTGTCAGTGTGAAAGCTTGGGACAGGGATCCTTCACACGAATCTTCAAAGGCAGCAAGATAGACATACGCGATGGGGAGAGACATGTGACAGATGTTCTGCTTAAGGAGCTGGATGCAAACCACAAAAACTGCTGGGAGGTAGGCAACACTGATAATGTGCATTTCAGAAGTCAAATAGAATGTGATACTGTAGCTGCATCAGACTGGATCAGAACTGTAATTGGAATTTGTTTCTTGTTCTTTTCCCCATTCATGGCATTAGTCCATATCTACCCAAAGGTGTCCTTGTTTCAACCCAGGTGCTGAGTTTCTTTCTGAATGTTATGAGTCCTTTAGTTATGAATCAATAATAAGAGGACCATTTTAATATCCTACTTTAACTTAATTGACCTGTATTGAGTCAAATGATCCGATCAATCGTAAGAGCAATTCACACGCCACAATATAATTACTCTTTAACAACAATTACAACGTCAAAGAAAGAACATGGATCAATTGTAGTAGCCAGTTGCAGTTGGAGGTTTTTTCCATTTAGGAAGGTGTGGTCTATCGTATAACAAACTAAGCAGGTATGCAAACGTAGAAAACTTTTTGGGGGGGTTTCGTTAACTTGTCTCGTGTTATATCAGCTCTTTTTGGAATATTCTAAAAATGGATGTGTTTCATTGCCTCTTGAACCCTATGGGATATGTAGTTCTAGAGCAGGTGGCCGTAGCTTTTTGCCACATGAAACAGTAGCTAAGATAGGATACCGAAGCCCGTATCAACCCCTTGTTGCAACCCCTCCTTACTGAAGAAAACCCTGTACAAATAGAAAGAAAGTAGCTACAGTGGTCACCCATTCTAAGTGTACGTTCTCTTGTTTTTCTCCTCTAAGTCATTCTTTGAAGCTGCCAGCTTGATGAGCCAGATTTCCCACAAGCACCTTCTCCTGGTCTATGGGATAAGTGTTCATAGATCCAAGAGTGAGTAACCGTAACACCTCAACCTCTCAACTTAACATCCTACTTCTCACAGATTTCTACAGAATCACCTAAACTTGAAAAAATTTAATAAAATGACATGCACAATTTAAATGAACTACAATTTATAGGGTTAGGGCTAAGGTCAATGTTAAGGTTACGGTCAGGGTTAAGGTTACTGCTGTAAATACCCTAACTCATTATAACAATGAGTAATTACAATACTTGTTACATTGTAATTATATGAGTAGTGACACAGTATTAAGGGCACTGTAATGTAAAGTGCTACTGAGTCTGCTAACGCAGTTCCACTTCATTTTCTGTGGGGGTTTTGAGCAGTGCTCACTCAACTCTCTCTCAAGGAGCTGCTGCTATCGTAACACATCTAATCATGCTACGCTGGTTATCTCTTAACCTTGCAGATGTCATGGTGCAGGAGTTTGTCAAGTGTGGGGCCCTTGACCTGTTCCTGAAGAGGGAAGGGTCAGTGTCGGTCAGCTGGAAACTTGACGTGGCCAGACAGTTGGCTTGTGCCCTAAATTTCCTGGTGAGATGAAGCTGATCTTTGGTCTGATTTCTATTTCTCTTCAGCTGAAGTATTTTGTATGTTTTCTGAGGAAGCACTTTTGTTCAAATAGATTATCTATAGATGTTTGATTAACTGTCCTTAGACATTCCTTCAGTGTCAATACTAGTGTATACACTAGTTAAACTGCTACTGCTTGCTCATTGTTTGAACTATTCAAATAAACGGTTACAATTTTAGTCTGTCTCTTTCTTCATCAAATAGGAAGAGAAGAACATTATTCATGGGAATATTTGTGCCAAAAATCTGCTCCTGGCCAGAGAGGGGGACGCATCCCAAGGAAGCTCTCCTTTCATCAAGCTGAGTGACCCGGGCATCAACGTGGCAATGTTGGGCAGAGATGGTAAACAGTCATCATAATGTAATGCAGAGAGTATACATGCACACTGGGAATGGCTTCCAAAAAGTGATATTATATTTAAAAACCTAATGCTTTTAACTGTTTGTGTTCTGTATCTACTGTATGGGTCGTGTGTGTGTGTGTGTGTGTGTATGTGTGTGTGTGTGTATGTGTGTATGTGTGTATGTGTGTATGTGTGTGTGTGTGTGTGTGTATGTATGTATGTATGTATGTATGTATGTATGTATGTATGTATGTATGTATGTATGTATGTATGTATAGTGGTGCTTGACAGGATTCCATGGGTAGCTCCGGAGGTGCTGGAGGCTCCAGAGAAGCTTGAGCTGGAGTGTGATAAGTGGAGCTTTGGTGCCACGCTGTGGGAGATATTCAATGGAGGACAGGCACCACTACAGGGCCTGGACCTCGAGAGGGTAAACTCCTACCTTTAACTACCACTAACACAACAATGTACAGTATCTGATATTGACTTACCCTGTGGATAAGGGCCAAATTAGTTTATTCATGAAACCTATGCAATTATCACCCGAGTTTCAGGAAAATCAGGTGCAGTTTATTTTCTCTGTAAAACCCACATGAAAATGCCAACTGTTAATTCTCCTTGGCTTAGGCTTTGTCAACAGCCTGAGTATTAAACTTACATTAATCCAATCTTGATTACTTTTTAAGCGGTTTTCAGAAAATATGTGGTCAAATTCCACTCAAATTCACCACGGCGTTGAAGTTTTTTGTACAAACCCAATACGTTGAATTAACCTCTGCTTCTTTTAAGCAGAAGCTGCAGTTTTACAAGACCTACAAGCAGTTACCCTCTTCAGAGTGGACAGAGCTGGCGGATCTTATCAGCCAGTGTATGAACTACCAGCCTGCATTCAGGCCCTCCTGTCGGAGCATAATTCGCCAACTGAACAGTCTGATAACGTCAGGTACTTCTCACTAATGAACCCAAACCATGTTACTTAAAACACCCTGTGTGGTCCAGAATTAGAGTTTCTACCTGTTATTTTCAGGTGGGAATTTGTTTAATAAAACACAGCTAAACCCAAAGTGTCCTTTAGTTTAGGGGCTGTGTCTTTTTATTGACCTGTTTGTTCTACACTCTTAGAAAAAAGGGTTCCAAAAGGGTTCTTCGGCTGTCCACATAGGAGAACCCTTTTTGGTTCCAGGAAGTAGGGCTGACCCCATTTAGTCGACTGGTCGATTGTTTGGTCGATAGGCTGTCGATGGTTTGGTCGATAGGCTGTCGATGGTTTGGTCAATAGGCTGTTGATGGTTTGGTCGATAGGCCAGTATCACCAGTAGTTGGCTACATTTAGCCTACTGTTAATTCCCATAATTTAAAATATACAGTGTTTGTTTGGTTAGGGTAATTTCCATTAATATATTATTATTACAGTCTTACTGTTGTTATTGTAGAAGTGGACACATTGTTTGCAGAGTGCACAACCTAGGCTACACTTGAAAAAAGTTTTGGTTTATTTCATTCTATTTACGAGTTGTCTTTTGTTTGGAGTGCTCCTGTCAATCTTGAGTAAGGACAAACACCTGATTACGCATAGAAGTAGGCCTAGGCTACCTGACCTGCGTGCAAATGTAGGCCTATAAATGTGCCCATTTGGGGATCTGATACTATTTCTGATTGTCTTAACTCACCATCACTGTGGAGCTTCTCTAAGTAATTTTTTCTTCGCCTCAAACAGCAAGTAAAGGAAGTCTGTTATTACATCCATTGAGAATGACAATAGTTCCTCAATGAAGCCTATTTGAAAAATCTTTCCAGCTCTCTCCCTTTCGATAACCACTCAGCATGAAAGGGGGAAGAAATGTCATGCTGTGATCGGGTGGAAACGTCTACCTGATTACAGTGAGGGAAAAAAGTATTTGATCCCCTGCTGATTTTGTACGTTTGCCCACTGACAAAGAAATTATCAGTCTATAATTTTAATGGTAGGTTTATTTGAACAGTGAGAGACAGAATAACAACAAAAAAATCCAGAAAAACGCATGTCAAAAATGTTATAAATTGATTTATATTTTAATGAAGGAAATAAGTATTTGACCCCCTCTCAATCAGAAAGATTTCTGGCTCCCAGGTGTCTTTTATACAGGTAACGAGCTGAGATTAGGAGCACACTCTTAAAGGGAGTGCTCCTAATCTCAGCTTGTTACCTGTATAAAAGACACCTGTCCACAGAAGCAATCAATCAATCAGATTCCAAACTCTCCACCATGACCAAGACCAAAGAGCTCTCCAAGGATGTCAGGGACAAGATTGTAGACCTACACAAGGCTGGAATGGGCTACAAGACCATCGCCAAGCAGCTTGGTGAGAAGGTGACAACAGTTGGTGCGATTATTCGCAAATGGAAGAAACACAAAATAACTGTCAATCTCCCTCGGCCTGGGGCTCCAAGCAAGATCTCACCTCGTGGAGTTGCAATGATCATGAGAACAGTGAGGAATCAGCCCAGAACTACACGGGAGGATCTTGTCAATGATCTCAAGGCAGCTGGGACCATAGTCACCAAGAAAACAATTGGTAACACACTACGCCGTGAAGGACTGAAATCCTGCAGCGCCCGCAAGGTCCCCCTGCTCAAGAAAGCACATAGACAGGGCCGTCTGAAGTTTGCCAATGAACATCTGAATGATTCAGAGGAGAACTGGGTGAAAGTGTTGTGGTCAGATGAGACCAAAATCGAGCTCTTTGGCATCAACTCAACTCGCCGTGTTTGGAGGAGGAGGAATGCTGCCTATGACCCCAAGAACACCATCCCCACCGTCAAACATGGAGGTGGAAACATTATGCTTTGGGGGTGTTTTTCTGCTAAGGGGACAGGACAACTTCACTGCATCAAAGTTACGATGGACGGGGCCATGTACCGTCAAATCTTGGGTGAGAACCTCCTTCCCTCAGCCAGGGCATTGAAAATGGGTCGTGGATGGGTATTCCAGCATTACAATGGGCGGCAGGTAGCTTAGTGGTTAAGAGCGTTGTGCCAGTAACCGAAAGGTCGCTGGTTCTAATCCCCGAGCCGACTAGGTGAAAAATCTGTCGATGTGCCCTTGAGCAAGGCACTTAACCCTAATTTCTCCTGTAAGTCGCTCTGGATAAGAGCGTCTGCTAAATTACCAAATATTATTAAATATTAATACAATGACCCAAAACACACGGCCAAGGCAACAAAGGAGTGGCTCAAGAAGAAGCACATTAAGGTGCTGGAGTTGCCTAGCCAGTCTCCAGACCTTAATCCCATAGAAAATCTGTGGAGGGAGCTGAAGGTTTGAGTTGCCAAACGTCAGCCTCGAAACCTTAATGACTTGGAGAAGATCTGCAAAGAGGAGTGGGACAAAATCCCTCCTGAGATGTGTGCAAACCTGGTGGCCAACTACAAGAAACGTCTGACCTCTGTGATTGCCAACAAGGGTTTTGCCACCAAGTACTAAGTCATGTTTTGCAGAGGGGTCAAATACTTATTTCCCTCATTAAAATGCAAATCAATTTATAACATTTCTGACATGTGTTTTTCTGAATTTTTTTGTTGTTATTCTGTCTCTCACTGTTCAAATAAACCTACCTTTAAAAGTATAGACTAATCATGTCTTTGTCAGTGGGCAAACGTACAAAATCAGCAGGGGATCAAATACTTTTTTCCCTCACTGTACTTCTTATCCCTTGCGCAAATAGCCTACAGCTGTGTCTGTCTGTCTGGAGCTCACTGGCGCAGGAAATATTTTATACAATGTTGCAAGTTTGCTAGCACCAGCTTCAGGGAGGACCAAGTTAATAGTTGATACAATGTTTCAAGTTCCTTGCAGACAGGCCATGCTTAGCCAATGTGATTTATAGGACATTTTTATCAGGATATTTTCTACCTGCGGGCTGCAATATCTTTATGTAGGCTATTTTTACATATTGGCAATGGCAATAGAAGTTACTTTTAGATTTGTATCATTTTCATTTAGATAAAATGTTGATTAACTAAATGACATTGATTTTCAGATATAAAGACTTCATTATAAATTAAATTAAACTGTTCCACGAAAATGTGCATATGAAAATCATAACTGGCACACAGCTCAATAGAAATGGTACGATAACTTGGCACTCCAAATGAAAAAGGTGTAGCCTATTACCAGCAACTTCAGGAGCTTAAAGGCAGAATCTGCAAAGGCCAGCAGCAGCGGACAGCGGGAGGAGGAGGGTCGGGAACAGGTTTATTTCTTCTGGCTAAGCTATATTGATCTCTGGCTCCCTCTTTAGTAATTTGTGTGTCTCCATTTTTAATCACAATACTTAAAGCATCAGACAAGCTCAGTAGCCTACATATAGTTGATATATATGGAAAAATACAAGTTTTAACATTTCGGCCAATCAATTGGTTGAAAGAACAGAAGACTCTCGGTTGACCCAAAAAACAAATTGTCGGGGACAGCCTTAACAGGTAGAACCCTTGTTGATGTCAGGTAGAACCTTTTGGGGTTCCATGTAGAACCCTCTGAACCCTCTGTGGAAAGGGTTTTACATAGAACCCAAAAGGGTTCTACCTGTAACCAAAAAGGGTTCTCCTATGTGGATAGCCGAAGAACCCATTCCAACACAGAAAATCTGCTTTTAACATACTTAATTAGCATTTTTTGGAAGGAAAACTATTTCACTCATATTGTAAGTAATTATAGGTCATATTTCATAGAAATCTGGAAACACTGGACAGTTATCTTAAGCTGACCTCTACTTATTGATAAACCTTTTATTCCTTTAATTTGTAGGATATCTTTGCTCTGAGGCAAACAATTTTACATCTGGCCCTATGTGACAGGCAGATTTATGAAAGGCATCAGTAGTGATATAGCCTCTGAGTGCCTTTCTTCCTGTGCCGTAGATTACGTGATACTCCATGCTGCGGAGCCTCTCCCTGACAGGGACAGAGCATTAAGCCACTCCCACCAGCAGGACCAATCAGTGTATGAGGAGAGACACCTGCGCTACATCTCCCCTCTGGGGAAGGTAAGTTGTCACCTGCATGAGTTGCATTCCCACAATCTGTAGCTTCCTCTCCTCATCTCCTTTTGTTGTTAATTGAGTCTTTGTAAACAAACAATTTATAACTTTAAAAAGCTATGACGATCAATTTCTTATAGGCTACTGTCAGTCCTTGCATCCATAGCTCCGTCTATGACATTGAGAGTGGTTGCATTTCCCCAGCCCTATCCCCTGGCTCACCAACAAAGTGGCAGGGTCAGGCAGTTGAAATTACCCATTGTGCCTTTATGTTGATTCTGGAAAAACGCATGGCTGAATGCAAGCCAACTGACCCTCTGTTTTCAGATGTTATTTGGCGAACGAAAGAAGAGAATGAGAAAAAAAGCATGTTAAAGTATTAAAACGAAGCCCTAGAAATGGTCACTTCACTTTTTATCATGTACCACAAGAGGACAGTGTTCTCCTATCCTTCTGCAATCCACACTATGCAGAACAAAACATTTTAGGCACCCTGTACCAAGGGTCAAATCTATTTCAACTTTATTTCAGGAATTGTAAAGGTGACCATTACTTTCAATTATGACAGTTTTCAATACATCAATTTCATCTAATTTAGAACTCAATCCTAGAATTGACTAGGTTAAAATACAAACACCCCCACCCTGTTGTATATTACAGTCCATGTTTTAATATACAACGTTCTGTCCTCATTGTATTTAGGGGAACTTTGGCAGTGTTGAGCTGTGCCGATATGATCCTCTGGGGGACAACACAGGCGAGCTGATCGCTGTGAAGAAGCTACAGCCCAACAAGCAGTCAAACCTGGAAGACTTTCAAAAGGAGATCAACACCATTCGCTCCCTGCATTGTGACTACATTGTCAAATACAGGGGCGTCTGCTACAGCATGGGTAAGAACAATGCAAATAATTCATACACCAAGACCCCAATAACACTTTTTGTAGGCTAGACAAACTGATATTTTAAGTTTGTTGGGGCATTTGGTATCCTTTCAGTCAATGTCAATAGACCATGCAACAGTCAATGGACCATAAAATGGGCTGAAATCTTTGTGATTTTCATAATCATAGCTGAAATGCCAGAAATGCCATTACTTGATAACTTTAGACCATCTAAAAACTGTCTTTGTCAACCTCCATATCTTTATTAGGTTCTTAAATGTGCCCTCTTTGTTATTTGTACTCAACACACTGAATAAAATATAAATATTTGTTTTTCCCCAGAGGGAACTTCCTTCTCTTCCTATTCTTGGAAAAACATGTAAAATATTAAGTAGTGTATTAGAAGGAAGAACCTTCAGCCTATATGTAAATGATAGCTGTTTCAAGGTAGGAATGTTTGTGTTAACTCTCTGCATGTTTATCCACATTTTGGGTAGGTCGTCTCAGCATGAGCTTGGTGATGGAGTATTTGCCTTATGGCAGTCTGATTGGATACCTGGAGAAGAACCGGCAGCACGTCAACAACAGGCGGATGTTGCTCTTTGCCTCTCAAATCTGTAAAGTATGAGCCCAATTAAAATAGCAGAATTCCTGGCTATTCCATACAAGACTGTTTATCTCTACATTGTAAAGGGGAAATTTGTGTTGTTTTGCACACTTAGGGATTGGAGTACTTGCAGAGCATGCGCTACGTGCACCGGGATCTGGCTGCTAGGAACATTCTGGTAGCGAGTGACACACTGGTCAAAATAGCTGATTTTGGCCTGACAAAGATCATTCCCTTTGACAAGGAATACTACAGAGTCACACATCCTGGAGAAAGCCCAATTTTCTGGTAACTGCCATTGCATTTGGAATTGACTTTCCACTCGTGTGGAAATGACATGATCTACTTCAGTGTTCTTCCTGGAGACACTTGTTACCTTTTCACACTACTGATCCAAACTGAGCTGTACTGCGCTATGCTGGATAAACATCCATCAATGTTGCTGGAACAAAGTAAAAGTACAGTACTGTTAGGGTTAGCGCGATAGTGTGGAAAGGATGTTAGTATGTGCACATTTCTGTTCATGCACTAACGCACCTGATTCTCCAATGAATCCAGGGCAATAGACTTTAAGTGTTGCTGAGAGCATTGTCATTTTCTATGGAAATTAGCTCTAAAGCAAGTTGTCTTCTAATAAGGCTTCTGTTCATACCCAGGTATGCCCCCGAGTCCATCACAGAGTCCAAATTCTCCCACAAGTCAGATGTCTGGAGTTTTGGAGTTGTCCTTCATGAGCTCTTCTCCTATTGTGAGCACAACCACAACCCAAAGAGGGTAAGTGGCTAAACCAAGCCTTAATACATTGTTCTACTGGCCTCATTAAATATGTGTTTTTCAACTTGAGCTATCTCAAATCTACCCACACTGACATTACTTTAAGCTCATAAAAAATATTGTCTTTTTTGTGTCAATGATTTTAACTCAATTGTTATGACTGTACATTACCTGCCCATAAATGCCAAATTTGATAATGACATATTTTCTCTCCCATCCACTGCACATTTAAAGCTATACATGCAGGAGATTGGCAATGACATGCAGGGTCTCTCCATTTCAATGCATCTGGTTGATATCCTGAAGGACAACTGGAGGTTGCCTGCCCCACCACTCTGCCCTCCCAGAGTAAGAGACACCTTACACAGCCTAGTGGTTAGATTGTTGGGCCAGTAACCGAAAGATCACTGGTTCAAATACCTAAGCCAACAAGGTGAAAAATTGGGTTCCAGAGGACAGAGTTCGGGAAACGCTGCTTTAGCTAGTCCATGCTTACAACAACACAATGCTTTTAAATGCGTGGAGAGGAGTGCACGAAGTCACACTTTAAGAGAAAGAAATGAATATTGGTCCTGTGCTGAGTTTTTACAGACGTAGACACTAGACATTGGGATGTCTCAGGTTTGAAAGTGATTATTTCGCCTGTTTTTGTAACCTTACATTGTTTTATTTGATAGATTTATAGTATGATGACGACGTGCTGGGCATACAGCGCTGAGGAACGGACAACTTTCTCCACCCTGGGAGATCAGATTGAGACCAGCATCCAGGATGAGAGAGAAGGTTCAAAAGGATGAATATAACTGAAGCCAACCCTATTAGACAATGTTGGATTCTAACTTGAAATATACTTATTCATGTTACCATATTAGAACTTATTGATTACGTTACATGTATAATAAATGTATATGTTAGGAGTTAATGAAAGGTGAATAGGAACGTTGTGTATGGAAGGGGCAAACATGTGAGAGAAGGGGCAAACATGTTATTGCTGAATATGAAGTTCCTAAGGAAGGAGGTAAAGATCAACAGTACAGTCTCAGTTCCTGATAAGGCAGGCCAGTTTCCAGGAAAGTAGTACCAGGAAGGATGTGGAACTCAACTCGAGATAAGGTTAACAGTTGAAGAGAGAAGAAACTTAAGTAGGGTCATGACAATACCAGTAAGAGGAACAGACTGAGTTTTTGCCTAGCAACATAGACAGATTGTTTATTTTAGACATACAAGGATGTGACTCCCCCTAGTCAGAAGGTATATCCTTGAGTGGCTTGTATGGTGTGTTTGCAGCTGAAGCATCTATTGGGGTTGAATACATTTGGTTTGAGCTTTTTCTAATCATCCATTTGAGTTTCTACTCTGTTTGTTCAGAACCTAACAACGACTGGAAAGAACCCTTTTGAGAGTAAATCGTGATGTAATCTTTAGCGTGTCTAAGCACACAAATAAACAATACTCTTATAAGAGCTTTTCATCTTCAGGTTTACTTTTTAACTTATTTAATTTAACTGTTATTTTAACAGGGAAGTCAACATTGAGGCCCAGGTCTCTTTTACAATTGAGCCCTGCATACAAAATCCCTACATACAAAATACATAAATACATTACAGAATATACAGAAAATACAGAATAAGTAGCCTATTAATGTCTTACAACAACCGTAAAGGAGAACATTTTCCAACTTCAGTTGGAATTCATTCCATGGCTGAGGGGTACAGAAACCAAATGTGGTTTTCCCTAGTTCTGTGCAGGGGAACATGTGACCAGATGTGAGATAGGTACCGATATTGGATATTAATTTGACCAGTATTGTCACAGCAAAATAATCCTGCAGCAACGGGATTTGAACGTTTAGTCCATAATGTTGCTTGATCGGTGGTTAGGCTATTAGCTGGACAAAAGTAGGCTAAGTGAAAAGTGCAATACTGTTAATATAACTGTGTGTTAGTGCGGGTTTTCAGTCAATTTATGTAAATCACGAAGCTCAGGGCAGGAAAATTCTCATTCTCAAATTAAGATCATATATCTGTATGTAGCAGACATGAGTCGGGCTCATAGTCTCATGATGAGGTAGTCCTGCCTGCGATCTCAAAGTCAGTGTCAGCCCTCAGCCCGTCAAATTGGTAAGATGTGGTGGACCCAGGTTCAGTTCCCGCCTGTGACATAGGACGTTTCTGTAAAACTGGTTGATACACAAATAAAAGATCCCGACACAACCCTAGAAATTAGCCTTATTTTGTATCATCATGTGACCAGCAGAGACCAGAGTTTTTTGCTACCCAACTGCAATCCATACTATCTTCTGGTCAAAACAGCTCAGATACATTATACCAGCAGGGGCCAGGGGTTCTGGGATGACATTCATCTCTCAAGAACATATAGGCTTCCCTATTCCTAAAGCTGAATTCCATAAATTCAATTTTTAAGTCCGACCCAGGTAATCCTTAAACAAAAGTGAAGAACCCAAATTCAATAGACCATACCATTTCATATCACTCTCCATGTCTTTAAGTAGGTTGATAAGGCCATGCACAAGAGTGACCTTTTTTCCGTATTTTAACAAACAGGAATTATTAGTTATTAGAGAAGTATCATTGACTTGAATGGGGACACCCGTTCTGTTCATTCTATTTATTTGCATTTAATCCTATCCGATTGCCCAAATCCGATCAGATAACTTTTGAAAAACTGGGCCCAGGGCTATATAATAATTGACAGTGGGCTGTTTTCACAGGTTAACAGCAATGTCAATACAATTTTGTGGGTATAGTGTGACGAGAATAAATTATGAGGTCTTGACCAAATCGCACACTCGAGGCAATCTGATTGGATACCTGAAAAAGAACCTGAACGTTGACAAACGGCAGAACATTGCTCTTTGCTTCTGCTTTCCCAAAATGAAATATGATAAGGCCTACTCAAGTGCTTTTTGTTCATTGTATTTATTTATTCAAATTCAAACTCATTGTGTAGCATCTTTTCAATGTCACCATACTAGGATGCATGCTTAGGCCTGCACAGCTCACTTGTTAGCACACAAGCTTTGAAAATACCCACTTTTTACAGGTTGGTAAATAGATTAAGGGGAGTGCCAGCAAAGACAGTTGAGGCATCAGAAACCTATGACTGATTGCAAATGACTTGGTGGCTGGGCACTCCTTACACTGGACAATGTGTCTTCCTTGAATATGTCAACACTGCAGCTTGTGATGCAAGCAGACAGATGACGTCACCTACAGTACATGCTGACTTAAAGTGGAACTGACAGCATTTTAGCAATATTAAATCTTATTAAAATCTATTCATATACACCCCCAGGAAGAATATGACATTTGTTTAAATATTTTCTGACAAGCGAGCACTTAGATATGGTAATTTTCAAGTTTACATCAATTCTTAGCATTTTGGAAAATTCTATAGCAATATAGAGTGGGAAAGCAGCAGTGGCGACCCGTCATTCAGGGCAGGTGGGGCAGAGCCCAACCTGTTTAGCTAAAATACAAATAAAAACACGTTTTTTGTTTTGTTGCCTGTTTTGCATGTTATTTTGGCATTAATACGTGTCACATATCAGTTTGCAAACAATGTAAAAAAAAAATTCATTGAGTTCATAGAGTTACATTAGAAGTGTCCATCCAAGAAGGCTCAAGGTCATTGGCCACAGATAAAATGACGTCAAATCACATTATATCTACCATAGCTTTGATTGGACTGATCATGTCAAAGTCTGGGTTTAAAGGGTCTCTTTTCCAAGCTTAAAAGGATAAACATTCAACAGCCATAAAAGGTTGAATACATTGGCCATGCTGTCAATCCAGCATGACTTCTGCCGCATTCAAAACAACTGGAAACTCAGAACTGGGAAATCTCAGACTTCAGTGAGTTCAAGACATCTGGGAACTCTGAAAAAAACTAGCTCCAACTCGGGCCTCTTTCTAGAGCTCCGACCTGAAGATCACTGACGTCATGATTCAACCTGTTTTTTTTTTTCCAGAGTTCCCAGTTGTCTTGAAAGCACCATAAATCCAGAGAATGCCAGACTTTGATGACAAACGTTGATTACAGAATTTGCCCACGAAGGACCGCCGCGCCACCTTCCTGTTCAAGTGAGCACAGCACAACAAGGTGAATCCAAAAATGTCTTGTATGCTGCTGCATAAATGATGTAATATGCCAGGGAGATATGTATACTGTAGCTAAGAAAGTAATACTAAGTGTATGCTGTGTAGTAAACCCAGATGCTATCGGGGTTTGCGAGAACACATGGTCAGACGAGGAAAGAGCAGTAGGAGTAGCAGTGTTTTCTGTGGTAATCCATGTTTCCGTCAGCGCCAAGAAGTCGAGGGACTGGAGGGTAGCATAGGCTGAGATGAACTCTGCCTTGTTGGCCGCAGAACGGCAGTTCCAGAGGCTGCCGGAGACCTGGAACTCCACGTGGGTCGTGCGCGCAGGGACCACCAGATTAGAGTGGCAGCAGCCACGCGGTGTGAAGTGTTTGTATGGCCTGTGCAGAGAGGAGAGAACAGGGATAGACAGACACATAGTTGACAGGCTACAGAAAAAGGCTACAATAATGCAAAGGAGATTGGAATGAAATGAACTAAACATCTGGGAAAGCGAGAGAGCGGGGCCTCCCTCACTTACGTTTCACTGAAACACTCAAATATAACTCTCCCAACATCCACTTTAGAAATTATAATTGTTGTAAACTACAGCGGTTCTATGTTTTCTAGGAATAGACTCTAACTTAGTTTATTCAGCTAGCTAACTTGGTACAGTATTCTTCCGTGAAAACCGTCCAGGGCACCGAATCCTATGACGCCATAGCCAACTAGCATGCCAGCCTCCAATAACACGGTTTAGCACCAATACTCGGTTACAACAAACCACCAGTGTGTTAACACGCCAAACAGATCATTCGTGTCCGTGTCTAACGTTGTGTAAAGTTCTGGGTTAGTTTTGACAGTTTGAGTGAGTACGTCGTCAACTTGTTCAGCCAGTTAGTTAGCTAGAATAGTTAGCATACTAGCTAGCCATTGCTCTCTACCAACGAACCAACCCCTCCTCCCACGGCACGAACACACAGAGAGAGCCAAGCTAACGTTAACTAGTCACCCATGTCCCGAATTCCCTTGAACGACTCTGGTTACCAGTATGTAAAAACAAAACAAAACTAAATGTAGGTTATAACTTACCCTTAGTAGCTACACCGGTCATATTCAGAGGATGTTGCGCATTCGTAAATGCATCAGTTATTCTGCGCTCTGGCACACTCAGACGAGAGTGCTCTGAAATCAGAGTAGATAGCCAGAGTGAGTTTGCGAAAGCAAGAGATATGCTGACTGGATAACAGTCGTTCAAGTTCATGCTAGCTAACCAAATTACATCTGCATCTCTAGCTATTTATAGCCACCAAAAAATGATATGAGGGGAAAAGGTCAGTCACTCACCACTCCTCCAATGACATGACATGACATCCTCCTAGCAGCTAGCTAGCTAATGTTAGGCTCCATGATTTTAGCTTGCTACATAAATAGATACACTAGCCTATTATCCACTTTATGACTGACTTGTGATCATTGCCCTTGTTAGTTTGATTGTATTGTAATTCCCAGCCTTAGTTACATTTGTCCGTTTCTATCCAAAATATTGATCCATTGAAACTGAAACAGTGCATCCCAAATAGAGGCAGCAAACATTGTACCAGGCCAGCTGTGATTT